GGTGTCCTTCCGACGCGCCCCACCCTGCCCCGCGGCCCCGCCCTCGCCGGGGCCGCTCCTGGCGGGCTGCGGCCCGGAGGCGCGCAGCAGAGGCGGCCAGGTCCTGCACCCGCACGGTCCCCGCCCGGTGCCCTGCCTCTCCTGTGCGCGAGGCAGGGGGTTGCCTCAGCAGGCCTCCTCCGCTCGCGCCTGCTCTGGCCGAGCAGAGCCTCGAGCGTTCGGCCGCCCAGGCCGGGCGGCGCTCCAGCGCGTGATGCGCGTCCCCTCCAGAGGCGCCTTCGTCGCACCAGATGCAGTGTTGCAGGTTCGCCCCTGAGTCCCTGCCTTCTTTGTGCGTCAGTCGGACGAGGTGCGCCCTGAGCTTTGTAGATATCGCTGCCCCAGTAGAGTTTTCCAGGACAGCCCGCCCCGCCGCGTAGGCATTCCCAAGATCGATGGAAGGCGCTCCCCTCGGCTGGGGGTAGGGCTCTGGTTGCACACATACCGCCGCTCGCGCCAGTGCCCGCACACAAGATCTAGATTGAGGCTGGGACCCCGTCGCCTTCGCTTGCCGAAACGGCCAATCGAGTGTCTCACCGAGAGAGCCTGTCCAGTGATCGCGCTGCCCACGAGGTGTGGCAGTTATGAGCCCGCCGAGGCACTGCCCCACAGATCTATGATACGCGCGTGGACCTGAGGGCGGCCCTTTTCATGGCCACATAAACGATCGCCTTGTCTGCGCTCGACACCGTCCAGCCCAGCTCTGCCCCAGCCACAGCCGCGTTCCGCCAGACAGGCGCCCCCATGGGAGGGAGAAGGGGGAGGTGGAGGAAGAGGCAAGAGAGGAGGAGGAGGTCGAGGAGGAGGAGAAAAAAGGAGGAGGTGGTGGAGGAGGAGGAGGAGGACGAGGACGAGGAGAAAGAGAAGAAGGAGGAGGAGGAAAAGGAGGAGGAGGCGAGAGAGGAGAAGGAGGAGGAGGAGGAGGAGGAGAAGGAAAAGGAAAAGGAAAAGAAGGAAGAGCAGCACCCGCAGCAGCAGGAGAGCCCACCTGCTTTCCTGCCGTCACCCCTGACCTCCAGAAGTTACAGAGAGGAATATATTGCCAGGAGGAGGGCCTGTAAAGCTCACCCCTCCATGGCGCTTCTTTTCCGTGCCACACGCAGGTGCCGCCTCCTCATCCTCCCACGGTGTGCTGCGCCCGGCGCTCACGGGGCCGTGCCGCGCGGGGCGAGAGTGCGGGGGTAGGTAGTGCGAACCTTCGAGGAGGGCCTGGGGGCGTTTCCCCTGCCCACTGCCCCGGGGCTTGAAGGCTTTAAAGGAGGAGGAGGAGGAGGAGGAGGAGAAGGAGGAGGAGGAGGAGGAGCAGGAGCAGGAGCAGGAGCAGGAGCAGGAGCAGGAGCAGGAGGAGGAGCAGGAGCAGGAGCAGGAGCAGCAGGAGCAGGACCAGGAGTAGGAGGAAATCCAAGAAGCATAAACGATGTTGAAACAAACCATCCCTCCAAGTCCCCTCGTCATAAGTCCCTACAAGGGATCATGCTCACTGAAGGAAGTGCATCGTTGAAAGACAACTGTTTGCAAATCCTGTAACATGCTATGCCACCGTCCTTGGGCCTTCAACGCCGCGAGTCAAAATTATTGTTTTGCCCTGGCGATTCTGAATCGTGCCGAAACGCCTACTCTTGGGACTTCATCACCGCGAATCAACGCGACCGTTGTGCCATGACGACACTGAATCACGCCGGAAAACCATTCCCTGGTCTCCAACACTTCGAGTCAACGTGATTGTTGTGCCCTGACAATCTTACATCGTGCCAAGGCATTGTTGGGGGACGTCAATCACAGAGATATTCGAAACTGCTGTAGGGTCTCAAGACAAGGCACGCGGCGCGAAAGCGCGAACCACATGGTAAAAACCACCCGCCCTCCATCCGTGAAACTCTTTGCTAGGTTTTTAGCTTGAATGTGCGCGGCACTGAGACGAGAGCCAAAGTTTGAAAAGGAACGACCCTCCATTCGCCAAAGTCTTGCAAACGTTTGAAAACGAATGTGCGCGGCGCTGAGGCGAAAGCAACATTTTGAAAAGGAACCGTCCTTCGTTCGCGAAATTTCTTCAAACTGTTAAGTCGAATGTGTGCGGCGCCGAGGCGAGAACCACATGTTGAAAACCACCAGCCTCCATCCGTGCAGCTCTTGCAAACGGTTAAGACGAATGTGCGCGGCGCTCAGGTAAGAACCACATTTTGAAAACCACCCGCCCTCCATCCGTGAAACTTTTGCCAACGTTGAAGACGAATGTGCGCGGCGCTCACGCGAGAATCACAGTTTGAAAAAGAACCGCTTTCCACCCGTGAAACTGTCGAGGGACTTTCAGGAATGGTGCAAACGCTTGGCCCGCCCCACTGACACGTCTCGGGGTGCGACAAGGAGGAGTTATGTATAAGGAAAAGGGATGGAGGAGGAGAGAGGAACAGGAGGAGGATGAGGAGGAGGCGGAGGAGGAGGAGGAGGACCAGAGGAAACCCACGAGTCATCAACGATGTTGGAAGGAACCCTCCCTCCAAGCTCCCTCTTCATAGGCCCCTACACCGGCCCACTTCCATTGAGGGAATTGGCTCGTTGGAAGACAACAGTTTGAAGATCCTGAAGCGTGCCAAAATATTGTCCTCGGGACTTCAACGCCACGTATCAACTTGACTGCTGCGTCTTGACGATCCAGAATCGCGCCAGAAAGCCATTCGTTGGACTTCAACGCAGCGAATCAACAGAACTGCTGCGCCCGCATAATTCTGAATCTTTCCAAAACACAGTTTCGGGTACGTTGATCATGGAAAACCGCGAAACTCTTGCAAATGTGTAAAACGAATGTGCCCGGCGCTAAGGCGAGAAGCACATGTTAAAAAGGAACCGCCCCTAATCCGCGATATCCTTGCAAGTTTTAAAAACGAATGCGCGCGGCGGTACGGCGAGAGCCACATTTTGAAAACGACCCACCCTCAATCCGTGAAAATCTTGCTTATGTTAAAAACGAACGTGAGCGGCGCTACGGCTAGAGTCATATTTTGAAAAGGAAGCGCCTTCAATCCGTGAAACTCCTGCAACTGTTCAAGACTAATGAGCGCGGCGCTAAGGCGAGAGCCACATTTTGAAAACGACCCGCCCTCAATCCGTGAAAATCTTGCATATGTTCAAAACGAACGTGAGGGGCGCTAAGGCGAGAGCCACATTTTCAAAACGACCCGCCCCCAACTTGTGAAATCCCTGCAAATGCTTAAGGAAAATGCGCGCGGCGCTAAGGCGAGAGCCACATTTGGAAAGCGTCCCGCCTTCCATGTGCGAAACTGTTGTCACGTTTTCAGCTTCAGGGTCATAAGTGGTGAGAAAGTCTCAGACGAAACGCCCGGCCCGCCCTAAAGATTTGGCTCGGGGTGCGACAGGGAGGAGTTATCTATAAGGAGAAGGAATGGAGGAGGAGAAGGAGGAGGAGGAGGGGAGAGAGGGGGGGGGCGATCTGGCGCGCGCGAACTTGCTGTCGCGCTGCAGCGGCAGGCCGGCGTGGCCGGCGTCGTGGCCGCAGCCACTTCCAGGTGCCCGCCTCGGCAGCGCTCGAGCGGAAAATCGCGCTCCGCGCGTGCAAAACGCACACCCCGCCTAGGAGCACTTGCGCACTGGAGCCGCCTGGGGGTCTGAGGTGGCCCAGTACTTGAGCTGGCCAGCAGGAAGGGCGGGCATCTGGCCCGCAGAGCACTGGGGCATATCCGACGCCATGCTGTTGCTGCAGGCTCCTGACCGCCAGGACGCTCGCAGTGGCTCCACGCTGCAGAGCTGCCCCACTACGTGCCCGCGCGGGCCGTCCTCGGCGCCCAGGCCCTGCATCCCCCTCTGGAGGACCTGCCTGCCGGAGCCTTGGGATGCAGCGCGCCGCAGCGCTGCGCCCGCCCCCCTGGCTGGGGCGATGGCGATGGCGATGACGGGGCTCTGCCTGACTTGGGATCGGCCACACACGAGGCGCTCCAGGGAGGGCCTCGCCTTCGAAGCTCGACGGAGAGTTGCCATCTCTTCCTCGGCGCAGGGCGGCGGAGGCAAAGCGCGGGCAGCTCCGCCCGCGGAAGGCTGGCGGAAGCAGACGTCGACCTCCCAAGAGAGATGGTAGCCTTTTTGGGCTCAGGCCTCCCGGAGTCCGCCGCGCGGCGGCCCTGCTGCCTGCAGGGCTCACCGTGATCTTACAGTGGAGGCCCATGCCAAGAGACACCCCGCTCGCCTCCAGGGTGCCCGGGGGTTCCTTGGGCTTCGATGGCTTCGCTATGGCCAGCGCAACGCTCGCACACCAGAAAGCCATGGACGGCCTGGGGGTTCCCGGGCGGGGTTTCTTGCGGAAGGTGTCTTGTGGGCCGGCCTCCACTGTGCGGCCAGGCGGGATTCTGCAGGCTCGCCGTTGTGACTCGTCGCCGGCCCGGTACAGTTTTGTGGGAGTCGATCCAGGGAGAGGAAGCATGCTGCCGAATATAGTGATTGCCAGATGTCTAGGAAATTCTTCAAACATGTCGTAAACATGTTTGTTTAGCAAAAATGTTTATAAAACGTGTGTGGAACATTTCAAAAACACTTTAAACACCTCGTCAACTCAATGATAGGATTGTTAGAGTGTCCAGTGTCCTGGGATCCACAACGTTACAGCCTGGAGCAGGACGGAGGCGCCGTCCGCAGCCCCCGCGCTCACGAGGCGAGGGCGCTCGGAGCCTCGCGTCAGTGCACGCGCTGCTCGGACAGGCAGCAGGCGGTGCGGCTCCTTTGGAATGCTGCCGCGTCGGAGAGCTGAGAGAACCCACCGACCCCGAGTTCGCCCGCCGGCGCATCGAGGAGGAGGAGGAGGAATTGGAGGAGGAGGAGGAGGAGGAGGAGGAGGAGGAGGACTCGATGGAACAAGGTGATGTTTGCGCTGGGGATGCCGCTCGCACGCACGGCAGGTTCGCGACGTGTCGCCCGGCGGCGACCCCAGCGCGTGCGTTTTGAAAGGTGGAACGCCGCACGTGGCCCAGAGTCGGCCCGTCGTCGAACGATCCGGCGTGAGTGGAGCGGCGGATCGTTCGCCCCCTCCAGGGTTCGTTCGCTCTTCCTCCTCCTAATCCTCCTCCTCCTCCTCCTCCTCCTCCTCCTCCTCCTCCTCCTCCTCCTCCTCCTCCTCCTCCTCCTCCTCCTCTTCAAGTTTGAACGATCCCCGCGGTGTCAGGAACCAACGCCAGGGTCGACACGACGCGAACCTGCCGTACGCTTGGAGGTCACCACCTCACGCCAGCGTGCTTGCGGGGCTCCAGAGTGCATCGGAAGTTTGCGCGGTAGTTGAAGACATCCATCGCGTCTGCTGGAGGGGCTGCTGGAGGCCAGCCCTCAACGCTGAGGGCTACTTCAAGCCGCGGCAGCTTCCACCCCGATCCGAGGGAAAGAATGCAACAGAAATGTGCACTTTCGGAGGTCCAGAAGTTCATGTCTGTGCAGCTGTTGCCTCTTCTGTCCAGGCCGCGGCGGCGTTCGCCGTGGTCTCTCTGCTCCGCCCCGGCAGGCTCGCACACAGCTAGGCTCGTGCGGCCGCGGCTGCCCATGAGAGCTGCTGCCTTGGCCTCCCCCGACGCGTGCTGCCGCACCCGGACTGCTCACCTCACGGCCACGCTCGAGTTGCCGAAGCCTTGCGAGGCCACGCTCGAGCACGCCGCGCTGCTCCACGACCGGGGGCCTCACTGGACCGCACCGCGCCGGCCCGACGCGGCTGCTCCGCCTGCAGGGGCGGCCTGGCCCCCCTCGGGCTCGGCCAGCACCTCGAAGGAGGGCCAGCTGAGACAACGGCGGCTTTTCGGCCCAGCCCACATCGGCTCAGAATCGGTCCACATTATTATTGGAATTGTTGTTGTTTTTCTTATTATTGTTGTTGTTCTTCTTCTTCTTCTTCTAGAGAATGGGGGCTGTCATCTGAACTCTACAAGTTTAAATCCGGCATAGTGCGTGTTTCCCAATCGTCCGAGTTTCCCGTTTTGATTCTATTGTCCCTCACTTGCTCAACAGCCGTGTCCAGGCGGCGCATCGGCAAGTCAAGCTGCATACATGTGCGTGGGAGCCGCCGCTGCGCCTTGGAGCCCGACCCTTGGCGACCTTTGTGCCAATGGCGTGCGAGGGTCATCAGCAATGCTCCCTGGATCAAGCTCCAAATCGGCCCCCGGACCCCTCCCAGGGTCCTGACCCGTGTCTCGACCACTGGCGACCTTCGTGCCAATGGCGTGCGAGGGTTCTCAGCAATGCTCCCTGGATCAGGCTCCAAGTCGGCCCCCGGACCCCTCCCAGGGTCCGGACCCGTGTCTCGAGGCGAACCCGGCCGCGGCGGCGGGACGCTCCCAGGAGGCCCAGAAGCGGCGAAGAACGCCAGGGAGGGCCGCCATGGTCTCGGCTGACCCTCTTCCCGACCAAGGGCATTGTAAGTTTGGGCCTTAGCTCGAAGACCAAAAACATAAACGTAAACTTTTGGCGCTCCGCGCGGATTTCTTGGATCCGCGCTGGGTCCCCGCCGCGGCGCCGCCCATGGCGCGCTCCGCGCGCCAGGGAGGGGGGTCCAGCGCAAATCCAAGTAATCCGACAGGAGCGCCAAAGTGTATGTGTATGCCGTTGTTTATTCTTCTGCTAGCTGCCCTGGCACGCCCGGGCTGAAACGCAACACGTCTCGCGTTCAAAGCGTGCCGGGTCGCGACGCTGCGCGTCGGTTCGGCGCGTGGGCTTGCGTGTTGGTGAGCTGCGTGCCCATGTGCTGTGGGTTGCGTGCTGCGCATCAGGGCAGCGAAGGCCTGGGCGTGTCTGGCCCGCGGACGCGCCGCCCCCGAGCTGCCCCCGCGGCAGTCAGCACCCCACTGTTGGTCGGCGGCGCCCACGGCGGGTGTGGCGCGAAGGGGGGGGGCCGTCGTCGAAGAAGGCGCGGGGGCCGGCTTCTGAGGAGGCCGCCTTTGGAGGATGAGGCCAGTTGCTCACTGGATATCTCGAGCTCTTCGCCGCCTCAAGCGGTGCGTGTTCAGAGCAGGAACACATCGCCAAGCCGCGCTTGCTGTGTTCCCGCTCTGGACGCACACCGCTTGGGAGCTCGAGAAACCCATCCAACAAATGGGGGAGGGGGGAACAGGAGCAGAGGGGAGGAGGAGGAGGAGGAGGAGGAGGAGGAGGAGGAGGAGGAGGAGGAGGAGGAGGAGAGGGGAGGAGGGGTGGGGGAGGGGGAGGAGGCGGAGGAGGAGGTGGAGGAGGAGAAGGAAGGAGAAAGGAGAAGGAGATTGTGAAGCAGGGAGAAACAACTGCAGCAGCTGGAGGAGGAAGGGGGAAGGATGGCGAGGAGGAGGACGTGCGACCGCCCGAAGTGCGCGAAGGCAGGGGAGGAGGAGGAGGAGGAGGAGGACGAGGAGGAGGAGGAGGAGGAGGAGGAGGAGGAGGAAGAAGAAGAAGGAGGAGGAGAGAAGAGCAGCTGCAGCAGCAGGAGGGGAGGAAGAGGGGGCCCACCACCTCGCAGGCTGCCAGCAGCGGCATGCACCTGAGCCTCTGCAGCATCCTGTGAGAGCCTGCCGCCCGCGGCCGGTCCTGCGCCGCAGCCGCGGGCTGCGTCCACGCAGTGGCGCCGCTCTTTTTTTTCCAGCGAGCCCGAGCGCCCTCCGGGGGCCCCGGGCCTGGGCGACCCCCGCATCGCTGCATCCGTGCACCCCTCCCCTTCGGACGAGGGCGAGCCGAGGCAGCGGCAGCTGGCCCTCGGGGGGCGCCCCCTCGGCGCCTCGATCGGGCAGCGGGCGCGTCTGGACCCCGGGAGGGGTCCTGGGGGCCGATGGCGAGCTGCCCTCGTCTCGAGTCGCCCTGCTCCGAACTCCTCCCCTTTGTCTGGACAGCTCAGCCAGGGAAAAGACACAGATGCAATGAGGCGTCGACTCCCAGGAAAGCATGGGAAAATGTGGGAAGTGGGGGGGGGGAGAAGACGAGAGCCCAAAAGGTATTGGAAAGTACAGGGGGGTCCTGGGATTTGTGTCTGTATCTGTTTGTGTGTCCCTGGTCCCCATTGACAGCTGCTCCCTGTCGCGCCACCAGACGCGTCGAGGCAGGCCAGGCTCAATTCGGGCCTGTCCCTCTACAAGAGGAATTTTCAAACATAGCAATCGGTGGACTTTTGTTTCGAGTATGTTAGAGATTGGGCGTTTTTTGACTATGTTTCATTTGTCGTTCAAAATCCCCCTGTAGGAGGACATGCCCAACCTAAGGCCAGGCGGTTCGCTCGAGGCGGCCGCACGGTTTACGACCTTGAAGCTTGAGAGGTCCAGCAGCTGCGCGGATATGGGGTCTTCGCTAGAGGCTCCCTCGGATTGTCGCCGGCTGCGTGCAGCAAGTCCCGCCGCCGTGCCAGCCCAGCATTCTGGGTGGCGACTGTTCGAGGGAGCACGGCAGGCCGTCACGCGTGACACCTTGTGTCTCCAGGCTTGGGAGAGCAGTATTGATGATGATGAGGAGGAGGAGGAAGAGGAGGAGGAGGCGGAAGAGGAGAAGGAGCAGGAGGAGGAGGAGGAAGAGGAATGCTATCACATATGACACTTGTTCGTCTTTACTGCTTGAAGAGCTATCATGGAACTCGTTTCGGCCGCCATGTGGCTGTCCTGACCTCCTGTGAGTCAGTATGGGGGACAGATCCCTTGGGGCCGTTGTGGCGCCCTCTTGAGCCGTCTTGGGGCTCTCTTGGGCCATCTGGGGGCCCTCTTGGCAGTATGGTAGGTGTCTGGTCTGGGGGGGCGTCGTGGGGCTGTGCGGCTCCCGCTAGAGATTTCCTCAAACTCTATACTTAGGAAGCTTGAAACAGTTGCTCGCTTCTCACCACCATCCTGCGGTGTTAGGTCCTCGCTTTGAAGAGACAGCGCCCCGCGTCTCCTTCTCCTCCTTCCTCCCTCCTCCTCCTCCTCCTCCTCTTCCTTTTCCTCCTCCTCCTTTTCCTCCTCCTCCTCCGCCTACTACAACTACTATTACTACTACTACTACTACTACTACTACTACTACTACTACTACTACTACTACTGCTACTACTACTATTGCTACTGCTACTGTTACTGCTACTGCTACTTCTACTACTACTACTACTACTACTACTACTACTACTACTACTACTACTACCACTTCCACTACTACTACTACTACTACTACTACACCTACTCTAACTACTACTACTACTACTATACTACTAGACTAGTACTATACTACACTACTACTACTAACTACTACTACAACTACTACTACTAACTACTACTACACCAAGTACTACTACTACTACTACTACTACTAACTACTACTACTACTACTACTACTACTAGTACTAGTATTGTAACTAGTACTACTACTTACTAACTACTACTACTACTACTACTACTACTACTACTAATACCAGTACTACTAACTATTACTACCAGTACGAAATGAGTACGTACATACTACTACTACTACTACTACTACTACTACTACTACTACTACTACTACTACTACTACTACTACTACTACTACTACTACTACTACTACTACTACGACTACTACTACTACTACTACTACTACTACTACTACTACTACTACTACTACTACTACTACTACTACTACTACAAAACTACAACTACGACTACTACTACTACTACTACTACTACTACTACTACGACTACGACTACTACTATACTACTACACTACTACTACTACCACTACTACTACTACTACTACTACTACTACTACTACTACTACTACTACTACTACTACTTCTACTACTACTACTACTACTACTACTACTACTACTACTACTACTACTACTTCTCCACCAGCCCCCACTGATCAGGCTTTGCAGAAGCTGGGGCACCAGCGACCGCACATCCTGATACTGCACCTCGCTTTGGGCCGGATGGCCTCACAGCCAGCTCGGCGCGCGCCCGCCGTTGATGATATTTTTTCTTCATTGGAACTGCATGGCAGCTGCTGACGAGCTGCGGCTTCAGGACATTTCGGACGAATTCAGGAACATCGATATCATTGCGCTAACTCCCACCGGTGAGCGCGCTGGAGACCAAGGTCGTACAGTTTCTCATCTTCGGCACCGAGTTGCACTCAGGCACGGATACGTACCTGGTCGACATTTGTTTCACCCTCGGCCGTCGCGGCGACGCGACGGACGTGAATGTACGGATGGTGCACCCTCTCGCCGCTACCGTGAGACTTTGTGATGTATATGTTTGTGGCTTGAGAAGACGTTCGTCTGGACTCGCGCCAGATCGTCCGTTTTCGCGGGGTTCGGCCTGAACGATTCGTTCGGACTTCGACGGCAATACGGCGGCGAGATGGTGGAGATCGTTTCTCGGGCCTCCGGATCCTTTGGCAGCGGCGAGCAGAGATTTGCGGGAGATCGTGTTCAGGAAGTTATGGAATGGCATGCGCTACGCGTAGTATCTATGGACTATCCAGTCGGGGACACGCATTACGGAAACGTCAGTTCCAGCCCTATTGACTACGTGGCAGCTTTTGAGTGGCAAGCTCCTGATGTGATGAGGTGCTGCGGGCTGAAGAGGGCCAACCAGCGACTCAAACTTGTTCGTAAGAAGGGGCTCCAGGACCATATCCCGATCCTACTGAATGCGCGCTGCGACTTCGACCTATCGGGGTCTCGGGCGGAAGGTGTACGATGGGATGCGGTTGCAGCGAAACATATCGGCAAGCAGGTCACGACCGATCCGAAGGCGCAGCGGTGTGCCGAGGAGAGGTCTCGCCTTCCTGCAGAGCGTCGCCGACAGCGTGAGTTCGGTGACGATGCCCTCGAGTCCTCGTTGGCGCAGTCAAGGCGCCGCCGAAGGCTCCGTGCGCTGCGACGGAAGCGACAGACGGTAGTGACTGAGCAGCTTGTGTTGGAGATCGAGCAGGCTTGGCACTCGAGAAGGCTCGCTGAAGTCTGGCGGTTGACACACCTGTCGTTTGGGCACTGTCGAGGGCCTCGCAAGAGGCGCTACAACACGGCCGACGAGTTTCTGCCTCGCGCCGACGAAGTGCGCGATTATTTTGCGCAGGACGGCCCACAAGGTGGTTCCAAAGCAGCGCCCACAGACATCAAGCAGCTCTTGGCCGAGAGCATTGCTGATCTGCCTCCCCCCCTGCTGTTGGTGCAGACAATTTTTGCATCAGCGGAGGAAGGTCGCGATGACTTGCCGCAAGTATGTGTGCTATTGGCCCTTGCGCCGAGACGAAAGGCCTCGCCTCTGCATAGCGCCCCCACGGAGATTCTGCAGCTCGCGATCGACTCTGCCAGACGCTTTGACGGCGCCCATCGACCCCGACGTCGACGCAAGACGACGACGACGAAGACGGCTATGATCTTCGACTGCCCCCCAGGTCTGGAGCTGAGGCCCCTGTTCCTCGGCACCAGTCTGCAGGTGATCGCAGAGGTTGAGGAGCCAGCGCCGAAGTCTTTACGAACGAAGCTTCCTTTCGGGCCCTCCAGCAAGCGCCCCGCCACATCCGACGGATTGGCAGGGCCCCAGAGGTCTGGCACCATTTGAGGGCCATGGGACTCAACAAGATGAACGGGGAGCAGGGGTCCAGGGCTCGACGTTACATCCACGGTCTCTGCAGGACGGGGCGCTCTGGCATGAGGCCCAATTAGTCAGGGGCGTCTCGGACATCATCCCCGACAGGGAACATGGACAGTTCCCGCGGCGAAGTCGCGAAGGCGCACCGACGTGCCAGGAGGCTCTTCTCTGGAGGCTTAGGGGCCTCGGCATTTCCTGCGCGACCTCGATGGAGGGCATGTCAAACGCTTTCGGGTGCTCCACCTCCGAGGCCCTGCGCGACACCGTTAACCAGTCTATAGAGCTTGCACCCAGCAGTTCTTTCACCAGCGCCACGAATGCAGTACCTTTACGATTCAGACAGCAGACGGGGAGCAAACTCTACGGAATCCACTTGGCGCGTTCATGAGCGACGGCCCAGCGGCGGCCTTTCTTGCTCGAACATTCAGATGGCCAATCCAAAAGTGGCTCGACATATGGAGAGCATGCGCGGGGCAATTGGCCCCCTCACCCTCGTGCGTCTAATTACACGGAATGGGCGCGCACTTCTCTGGCTCCAAGGGTTCCCCCCGACAATATGGACGAGTACGTTTGGCTACCTGAAGACATATGCATTGCCTGGGCGCCGTTCCCCAGGCGCCCCGCGTCGCTCTCGCGTCGCATATGCCGACGACACCAGTAGGACGCACTCGGTGGGCTCGGCGGCGAATGCACTGTGATCTTTAGGCATTGCTCATCAGCGATCCCGAGAGTCTCTGGCCGACGGAGGCTACGAGCTAAGAACAAAGGTAGGAGTTCACATGTCTTCGTCGGCAAGGGGTCGATGGGGATTCTCGGCGTCGGTCTCCGGAGACTTGCCCCCAGTATCTGGCAATGTCCAGTTCGACAGCGCTTCCCCGGGCATCGCCGCGTCCGTCAACGGAGGGGTTCTGGAAGAGCTACGCCGTCGAGTTCTCGCTCGTCGTCAAGGTCACTACTACATGGGGCGTTTCTGGTCTCAGAAAAGGGCGCGGCGCTTGACTCGGACGGTTTTCGGAGCTGCACTACAGGGGGCGATCCCATCTGGTCTCACCACGCTGTTTCTTACTCCTAAACAAGAACAGAAGGTGGACAAAGTTTTGGCGGGCT